AATGACTGAGAAACCATAGCAGTCTCACTGTTGGCCACAGCACCTCCACGATTGTTTCCCACCACAACCATTGTCATGTCATTGTTCAACCTTCAATCCGGTTTCGGGCACTCACGAGAAAAATGACATGGCTCGTGACAGTTGAAACATCGCAGCTTTCCCTTATTGAACCCTAGCTTTTTATCAGCATTCATCCTCCGGTTGTTTTTCCCTGTCTTTTTAGCAAACTGCTTCGCCCTGAATACTGCCATAGCAATTTGCCACGTAATATCCATCTCTTCCACATCTTCTGGATGAATCTGATCCAGATCAACAAATGACAACTGAGGTGGAAGCTCTCCAGCTACAAAAGCATTATAGCAGTTAACAAGACCTGTGGCGAGAGCAAAATTTTCATCACTTTCCTTCGTGTTTGAGGAAGAGGCTACAACTGGCACATTGGAGGAGAGAACAGCTTGTGGAGTGACAAACGACTGGCTTTGAGAATGAGGCATGGATGACGCAGTAGTAAAGGTTTGAATCTGAGGTTCTTGAACAGCAAATGCTTGACCTGAGGAAGAAAGGATTGATGAAAGGGCATTGTTAGAGGAAATTCTGAGATTTGCAGTCAAATACGAGTTCACATGGTTAATCTCTCGCTGTTTATCATCAATATCACAAGCTTTGATGATCGCCATTGTTTCAGCAAGAGTAAGGCGATTCAGATCCTTGGTCTTCTTAATAACAGCAACATTCATGTCCCATGACTTTGGAAGAGCATTCAGTAGCTTTTTATTTATCTCATACTTGGTCAAGAAGATCCCAGGTATGTTCATCTCAGTAGTGAGAGTTGTGAATCGTTGCAGCTGTGCCTCCAGGGTTTCTCCGGGAATGTAGTTAAACATGTTGAATTTCTGTCGCAACATATCCTGGCGGCTTTCCTTCATGTCTTCATTTCCTTCATACACCTCAATCAAGGCTTCCCACAAATCTTTAGCTGAAGTATACTCTCTGAAACCTTGAGCTATATCAGGAGATAAAGCCATGGTCAGAGTGGCCAAAGCCCTTTCCTGTTCTTCAACTTTCTCAAAATCGTCATCCGTATAGTTCTCAACTGCTTTGTCAATCACTTGTCCTGCAACCGTCATAGTAATTCGGACAGGACCCTTGATGATGCTTCTCCAAACTTTGAAGTCTTTCATTTTAATATATTTCTCAATCTGGTATTTCCATTCAGGAAAACCATCTGCAGATAGTAACCTCGGAATACGTGTGGTTGTGCCCATGACAGTATCCAGCTCATGATGATGTGTTTGACTTTGAGAATCCATTGATGATTAAATTTTAAATCAGAAATTAAAACAAAAGAATGTCAAAAGTGAGTTTCCGGTCAGTGAGTTTACGGATGTTTACGGTCTGAATGTTTACGGTCTTGTGTTTACGGTTTTTGAAGCTTAGTTTACGGTTAGTGAAGATGCTTTGTTTACGGTCCAAGAACACAGTTTACGGTCTTTGAATGTTCTTGAGTTTACAGCTGTAAACTGAGTTTACGGTCGTAATCTCTTGGCAGTAAACTCCCAGAAGTTCTCGAAAACACGATTTTGGAGTAGATTCGATCCCTTTTAGCAGTGAAAATACCAAATCCAATCTCGAACAGTGAGGAATACGGCCGAAAACTCGATTGAATGATGCTTTGACACCAGTTTTGCTCTGATACCAATTGTAAGGTCCTAAAACGGATCTTTACCAATGATCAAGCAATCAAACAATCAAAAGTAACTAGAATATGAGTAGAAGAAGAAGAGAAATCAAGCTTGCACTCGTTTATTACTGAAAAACGTCTGGTACAACTCGATATACTTGGCCGTGAACTCTCTGGCATCAACAACTAACAATGACCTACAACACCTCTATATATAGGGAACTTGGGCCGGAAACTGGGTTTACGGCCGTAAACAGGCTTACGCCCGTAAACTCACTATAGGGTCGTAAACTCACTAACAACCTACTAAACCACAATAAGGACTCAAAAGAACTATTACAATGAAAGCCTAGACCAAACCACTAATTGGACCCTTCAGTGTCCCAAATCTCTTTAGCAGATTTGCACAACTTAATGTCCTCAAAGAGAGAAGGAGGAACACCAAACACCATTTCGGAAAATGCAACTTGATCTGCATGCAATTTCTCGATGTCATCAGCAGTAAGAGGTGCTTGACGATGTTCATCCTGTCCCATGAGAGTTGCTGCAGCATCTCTCACAGTTTGTCTCACAAGAACATGTGGACCTTCTTTAATGGATCTCCATATAGTTTCACCTTTTTCTTTTCCGAGTAAGAACCTTTCCATTCTGACTTTCCAGTGATCATACTCTTCAACAACTAGCAATGGGGCACGAGAAGGGCAACCCATGCTATTTGCTATTTTCATTGAATACATTAGTTGATAATTAGGAGCAGCCATTGAATCTTCGATATAAGAGCAGAAGCGGTATATAGAAGAACTTTTATCCTGAACACAGAAATGATCGAAATACCAAGGTAATTTCGAATCAACTATAATCTATTCTTATGGATTCAAAGGACAACCACTCAAGCTCTGATACCAATTGTGAGTTCAAGAAATGATGCGCAAGGACAAGGTTTCAAAACTCAAACCTTGAGTTAATCAAAAGATCGATGTCTGCTCTTAATTGATGTTCCAATCAAGCCTGGTAAAACCAGTTGAGACTTGAAGTTAATATTCAACAAAGTACACAAGTGTTTAATGAAAAACTTTGAGTATGATAAATGTAAAGACAATAAATAAACAATGAGAATGTTATGAAAGAGTTTGATGTGAGAGTAAAATGAAAGTGAAGTAAATGAAGTTTTAGCTATCTTTGGAAGAACAATCAGTTTTATTTTTGTCATTCAAAACACTCCCTTATATAGGAAAAGGAGTTACATCGTACAAACCAGATTTCATACTAAGGACTGGATAATAAACTACTTCTGACAACTGATTATCCAACTGAGATAAAAAGCTAATTCATATGAAATGATACATCACATAAAAGACAAGGAATGATAAATACACAAACAGACAAACAATCTCGGAATGCTCTTTACTTCGGACTTCATCTCTACTTTGGAAATGGCTGATTTCGGATCTTCAATACTTGAGATTGGTAGAGGTTCACTTTCAGGTTCCAACAAAAATCATGTAAGGTAAATCATGATGGTAAATTTCTCAATCCTAAACATATTAATGTTAAAACATCTATATTGTATGACATATTTTAAATCAATGAGGTTATGTTTGACAAAATAGCTGATAGTTTAGTTAATAGTTGAAAATTTATTTGTTAGCTGATGAATAATGACGTTTCATAAAACCTGACTGATAAATTGACTGAGACATTTAAAATGACATAACTATAAATATGTACGTAAAAACCTTATATGTTTTGTAAACTCATATTCCGCATCGTATCATATTTGTTTTTTAAGTTTTCAAAATAACATATCTTGTCAACACATATTGTAAATTTACAATGCAATTATTTTTAAATAAATTGTGAAATAATATTTAATAAAGGCTTATATCAAATAATCATTTACTAGATTATGTCTATTAAATTCATGAACGATCACCGTTGATAAATAAATAGATAAATTTGTAAACATATGCATCTATAGTTGGATATTTTATATTCTTTTAAAATGACGAAATGAAAAGATATATATCTTGTTGAACTAAGTAATAAATAAATAAATAATGCAATTATTAACGACATTAGAGCGTTAACCACTTAGGTTGTGATGACTTGGTAAAACATGTGGAAGATATGGTGGATAACGTATTGACCAGTGTTCAAATTCTGACACTACTTAGCCCATGTAGTCATAAATGTTCGTCTGTATTGACTTCAGGGCATGAGGCATAGCCTCATGTTTGTAACAGTCGATTAGTTGGTACGCGAAAGGTGACCCCAAATCCTCGTTAGGAAGTTCTATTTCAAAAAAAAAAAAATTTAAAGCGCTAACAAAAAATCAATAACCAAAATTAAATCTTTATATTTTCCAATAATATTATTTTCAATTAATATACATGGGGAGAATATTTTTTATGACCAATAAATGAAATATTTAGAAAAAAAAATCAATATGTTTTATAAATTCCTTGAAAAACTAGTGTGAAAACTAGGTTATAAGCTATTTTTTTATCCTGCCAATATTAACAACTTAAACATAAACTAAATAATAATAATAATAATAATAATAATGAAAGATGGCTTATAAAACTATGGCATGCAAAACATACCCTAAATATAACACATGCAAGAAAAATCATATGTATATACATTTTTTAGTAATCTAACTTCATTGCTGAAACAGAAGTGGAAAAGAATAATGCATGTTTATCACTTAAAAGAAAAGTGGGTGTATATGTGTGAGATGAATATTATTTATTAACCGGTTTTATTTATTATATAATATGACATTGAAGACCACCTCCACTCCAGGTGCCCCAACCTTGTCGTCCAAGAAGTCTTCAATCCTCTTAACACACAAACAAAACATTGAATATTTGCATGAACTCTATAGAACAAAAGAGATAGATACAATGGTTTTAAAATGGTTAAATATTTAATAAAGCATTTAAAAGTCCAAGTGATGTACCACATGTATTAAATGTGGTACAAAATTCTAAGCATTGAATAGACGTAGCTAAAAAGATGCATGATAAAACATATAGCATTCATTCCATTTCATTTCTTCACCTAATTCATAGTAGTTAACATTTGCGGGTCACGTGTTATGACACGTGCCTTGCATTACATTACATAATACATATGGGCTTAACGCCGTTATATCAAATCTAACTCGTCCGTTACCTTTAACTTTATCGTTAACGGAGTTCTCCAACTAAAATATTTATACATATAAACGCTTTCAGACTAAAATCAAATAATATTTCCGTACAAAAAATTGCTGAATAATAAATTGATAATCAGCAAGTGACCCGGATCCAATTATTTAAAGGGCGACGAGAGGATCCGATCCGAATATGTCGCCAATGTCTGTGAAGAAATCGTCTGCGGGCCAAGATGAGGATCCGAACCCGAAATCGTTGGCACACCCGAAGAATACGTCGGATGGTCCGGATCCATGAAGCATGGTTCCCGAAAAGCTTGTCGGGTCGTAAATGTCTTGTACGAAATCGGGGAAGTCGAACAGATCGGAGGTGCAGAAAGGATCGTCGAATGGCCGGAAATCGGAGAAGTTCTCGGAGACTGAAGAGGTGGTGTCTATAAGTACTGAGGGTTCATTGACGGTGTCGTGTAAAGGGCTGTGTTGAGTCGACTCGGCTACGCACTCGTCGGCGGAGGATGAGGAGAAACGGAGGACGGACTTCGGCGATAATGCTTTGATGTTCGTTTGTGATTCTTCGCCGGAGTTGTAATCGGAGTCAACGGACGACAGTTTCTTGTCTGTTAACTGGATACTTACCGGTGGTGGAACGGTGAAGTTTGTCAGCGCGTCGGGACCACGCAGCTGTATGGCCGCGTGATCATACACCATTGCAGCCTCTTCGGCGGTATCATAAGTTCCAAGCCACAGCCTAACACGTCGAGTCGGGTCCCTAATCTCAGCCGCCCATTTCCCCCACGGCCTCTGCCGTACGCCGCGAAACTTCTTACCGGAACTAACCTTTAACCGTTTCTTCATCGCATCACATTTAGCATCCGGATTCTTCCTCCGACTGACCTTCGTCTTTCCCACGCTCCTATCTCTGTTTCCAATCCTATTACAGTGAATGTTAACATCGTCACCGGAAAGAGGCTTAATCGTAACCTCCTTAACAAATTTCTTCACTCTTCTCCGGCCGAAGAAAACTTCCTCTTCGTCTCCGGAAGAATCAGTCGCATACTCATCGGTCATCGATATCCTCACAACTCTAGGTCCAGCAAACGCACCATTCGCCTCCGAGATATCCCGTCGACTGGAAGCCTTTTCTTTGGTGGTTAACAAGGACTTGCTCAGCATTGTAATGTGGGTTTTATGTTCAGTGAACTTAACTGACGAAAAAACAGCTGGGGTTTCCATTCTCTGCAACAGATTTTGGTCAGATTGACATTGAAAGGAAGAAGACGATGAATTTATATGGAGAGACTTGAAAAAGCGTAGATTCGTTAACGATAGAAGAATAAAGAGGTTGGAATACTCGTGCGAGAGAGAAGATTAAAGGGTCATCGATAAAATCTCAAAGGGAAATAAAGTTGTAAAAAAAGAAGAGAGAGAACGCTTGAAAAAGTTATGAATGGTAATACCGAAGAAGTTGCCGAGAAGAACACATGCTAGAGAGAGAGTTAAAGGCGGGTTTAGAGTGAGAAGAAAGGAGAAAAACTCCTTTTTGCCGGAAAAAAGAAAGTGTGAGAGGAAGGGTGGAGGAATCAAGGAATATATATATCGAAAGAGAAGGGCAGAGCAGGGCAGAGGTCGTCGTTGACTGTGCTATTTCCGGTACTACGCAGAAACAAACGTACAGTAGGAGCAGCAGAAGAGGCTGAAAGTATCAGTTTTCCGGTGGGTTTTAGAGTTTGGAGAGAGAAAACTGTGAGGGTTTAGGCAGACCAGAAGAGAAGAGGAGGATAAAAGGTGTGTAAAAGTGCCGTGAAGACGGAAATGGTATCCCCCGCTTGCTTCTTTATAGGATCCTGCCACCCTGAATTTTTATTTGCTTATTAAATATCTTGAAAAATAATCCCCCAATTAATATACATTTTTTATTTTCTTGCTTCCTTTAAATATTTTATTTCAAATGTTTTACTATGAAAATTAACAACTTTTTGTAAACAGCTTGTTGATCAAATATAATTTTATAATAGGTCTAACTTTTAAAAACTTTAATATGGATATATTTAATTCTTTTAAAATATAATTAAGATCATTATAGTTTCATAATATTTTGACTAAATTAGAAACGGTTTATAAAGTTTAATGAAAATTTCAATTCAAATTTAAGTTCAGATAACTAAATGTTCCATAAAATTGCGGTAAAAAGTAGGGATAGTGACTTAAAAGGTAATTGATGCGACTTCGGCTCCGACCACCTGCTCTGAGGATGTGCTTCTACGCCGGAGACAGATCTATGAGGTCACAACATACAAGACCGTTAGAGCCGCCCCAGGGACTGTGCCCTGGGAGCGGGCTCCGACGGTCAAGTTAGATCATCTGGTAGATCTGATATGGTTCTCTTTAGCTAGAGAGAACCATCTTGGTGCTAGTGGTGGTGTATGGTGGCTGACGGCGGCGGGTGGCGGCTGAGCCACCCGGCCGGAGTATAGTGTGGCGGCTGAGCCATGGTGAAGTCTAATGGCGGCTGAGCCACTTGGGGAAGAGTCCTAGTGAAAGATCCATCTTCATGGAGGAGGCACTATTCTATTTACAGGGGACAACTAGGTCAAGGGGAATTAGGTCAGGCCTTGGGCCAGCCCAATTCAGGCCCAGCTAGCAAGGAGTTGGGCAAGGCCGCCCGGAGGCGCCGGGCATGGCTGGCGGGCGCGCCTCAGACAAGGCTGGCGGGCGCGCACCAGGAAATGCTGGCAGGGGAGCGCCAGACGAGGGAGCGTCGGGCCGGGCCGGCAGGAGAGTCCCCAGCACGGTTGGCAAGGGAGCGCTAGGCAAGGCTGGCAAGGGAACGCCAGGCAGGGCTGGCAGGAGCGCGTCAGGCCAGGCTGGTGCTCTAGAGCAGTCTAGGCCATGCTAATGGACCATATATCATCAGTAATATTGTTTCATAAATTTACGGTAAAAAGTAGGGATAATGATTTAAAAGGTAATTTTTTTTTTTGATTTGTACATATTTGATCAATGAGTTTTTTTTTTTCATTCATGTTTACCCTTTTAATTTGTTTAAATTGTACACATTCAATTAGGGATGAAAATTTGGCCCGGAAACCCGAACCAAACTGAACCGAATTAGGCCCGAATAAGCAGTTCGATTCGGGTTTCAGGTATCTATATTATGCTTATTCGGTTCTCGGGTTACCCAAATAGAGCTTATTCAGTTCTAAATAACCGACCCAAATAAGCATTTCTCGTCCCTTTGCTCTAATCGACAAAAATCAAAATCACGATTCACACTTTTGTCCTCGTAATTTATAACAAAAAAAAAAAAAAAAAAAAAAAAAAAAAAACTCTACGCTCGTTCTCGTCATTTCAAAATTGACCAATATTCTCATCTATTACCAAACTCGAAATCACTTATGTCGATCCTTCCTCTTGTTTCAGACTTTCAAAAATCAATCATTCCTATTGTCTCTAAGGATTCACGAATTCCTACTTTGTCTAGTCATGGAAAATTGGGCTTCAACTCAAGAAACTCAAGAAAGAAATTAATTCTCATTATGTTAATCTACTATGTAAATGTTATTCTTTCAATGTGTTATTGTGTTACGTTAGTCTTTGAATGTTTTATGTTGATGTATAAAAATACATTGTTATTCTATTATTCGAGTTATTTGGGTTATAGAATCCTAATACGGTTTATTAGGGATTTTTCGGTTATATTAGGTCCTTAATCATCTTGTACATGTTATTCGCGTAATAACCGAACCGAACCGATTAATACCCGAACCGAACCGAACCGAACCAGTATTCGTTAACCGGTTCGGGTTTCGGTTCATGCAATTGCCCGTATTCGCTTTTCGGGTTATTCGGGTTCGGGTCGGTTCGGTTCCGGCCCGAATAACATTCCCACATAGGCAGGGAAAAATGACTTAATATAGTAATATATTTCTCACTTTGTACACATTTAGTCCTTATATTTTTTTGTTACAAAATAAGTTTTTTTTTGTATACATGCAATATTTATGACCGATTTCTTCAGGTTTTGCTCACGACATCCTACGTGAGACAATCATTAATTTGGTGTCGGCCAGTTCCGGGTTGTTGATGCTTATGGTCACCGCTGCCTCGGCTGCTTGGTTGCTTAAGTCTTATGGTTGGCTTAGGTCTTGTGTTATGAATGTCATAACTTCTTCATACGATCTCGGATTTTAACGACCTTTATATCCACGCGTTCGTGTTTGAGTCTACTACGACTTTTGTTTATATTACTCCCGTTAAAACGTAACGTCCCAAAAATCATAGTAATTTTTTTTCATTTTTAGAGGAATAAAAGTAGTTTCTAAATAACCATAAGTGGTCAAAAACATTGTCTCACAACATATCATAAAAATCAGAGTATCAAAATATAATATCTCTCAAATCATAAGATTGTTGGATGATGTGTATGTAACACTTGTTTCAGGTAAATAGTTTATTTATGTCTATGGCAATTAAAGAATTAAAAGTGTGGGTTTTGTGGTGGCCACGACATGGTGAAGGATGCACCATGACGTGGTTATGGCCAAGGAAACGTGCATCATCTTTACACCACAACGTGGCAGGTGCCTAGCCACGACGTGGTGGCGGCCAGTTGCAAAACCCTAAGTTTCTGGGTTTTGTGCCTTATTTAAGGGATACGATGATGGTTACGGTTTGCACACCCTCATCCTCCATCACCTCCCTTTCGACTTAGAGAAAACCCTAACATCCACTGTTGATCTTGTGAGTTTTGTGGTGGTTTTTGGTCCCTTGAAGAAGAATAATGTGTCTTTGGTGCGCTGTTCCAACTAGCAAATCTCCTCCTCATCATCTTGTGTTGTTTTCAGACTCTTATAAGTCCTCAAGCTTCTACCTTTTGTTTTCAAGAATGCTAGATCTAGGTTTTTATCCACTTCCTCCATGTTTGGGGTGGTTTGAGTGTATATATTCCATAAAGTTAGCAACTTTATTGAGTCCTTAAGGTTCCTTTGTGGTCTCTTGTCCCAGATCTAGAGAGTTATTAAGTTATGGGTTCCATGCATGAGATTTTAACCTTATTTTCACCATTTTGACCTAACTTGAGCTCAAGATATGCATTGGGCATGCATGTCTATAAAGCAATGATGTTTATGATGCTTTGGGTGTAAGAAAGCCCCCTAGAAAGTATGAGTGTATGGCTTGAAGGATTAAGAGCTTAATGCATTAAGTTGTCCAAAACAGGTTCCATGATGTGGCGGGTTGGCCACCACGACGTGGCGACAAGTAGTCTTCACGACCGTTTTGTCATGTAGCTTCCACGACGTGGTCTATGGGTGGCCACGACGTAGAGGTCAAATGGAACTGACTTTGACCGTTGACTTTTTGACCAAGTTGACTTTTGGTCAACTTGAGGGTTTTTAGGGTGTAGACTAAGAGGGTACTTCTATATTATTGGTTAGGTGATTCTTAGTACCGGTTTTCACTGTCATATAGTTGTTGTATTAGCCTGCTATTTGCAAGGTGAGTCTTCTCACTATATGCGACAACCCGGTAATTTCTATCTTGTAAAGTCATTCAAAAGTCAGAACTGTTTATGTTATCTTTTTTACTGTGTTAAGGGTCATAAATAGGTTTCTAAGCCTTGTACATTTAAGGATTGTGTGTTATGAAGTATTAGCTCGAGATCAGAAGGCTGCACCCGAACCAGGAAACCCAACATATGAGGTTCACGGCCGCAAACCCTGTTCACGGCCGTGAACTCTCTCTTGGTCGTGATCTCTTCCCTATAAGTATGAGATTGCTTCATTTTTCCTTCACTTCTTCTTCTTCCAGCCGTGAACTTGAGTTCTCTCTCAAGTATCATCCACAAAAGGGCCTTCTATCACCTCAAAAACCTAAGTAACTCACCCCTCTTCTTGTTGTTACTTGAAAGCCCTTTACCTCCCATCTTAATTCATCATCTTTTCATCTTGAAATTCAAGATCTTCAAGCTTAGGGCCGTGAACCATTCATCATTGGGCCGTGAACCTTCAAGTGGGCCGTGAACCCTTCCTATTGGGTTGTGAACATTCGACTGGGCCGTAAACACTTCATGTGTTCTTGGGCCGTGATCACACCTTAGGGTCGTGAACCCTCATTCAACCTCCTAACTTGCTTCTAACACTTCCTTGGTGAGTTGTTCTGTGACAACCCGAAATTTCTATTCTGTACAACAATTCACTTCAATAGGAGTCAGAACGGTTTCTGCTAACTTTTGA